ACCTTAAAATGAAACAATACTCGGGCCAGCGCTGTGGCTCAATAGGCTAATCCTCCACCTAGCGGCGCCGGCACACCGGGTTCTAGTCCTGGTCGGGGCGCCGGATTTTTGCCGTTGGTTCAGAAGACCTTTCTCTCTGTCTCTCTTCTCTATCCACTCTGCCTGTCAAAAAAAAAAAAAAAAAAAAAAAGAAAGAAAGAAACAATACTCAAAGTTCAAAGTTTGGAATTTTCTGAAAGAGAGGAGGGGAGTGGAGGTATAGAAATCCCATCCAGGGGTCAGTGCTGTGGCTTAGTAGGTTAAGCACCCACCTGCAGTTTTGCATCCCAGATGGGCACTGGTTCGAGTCCCAGCTGCTCCACTTCTGATCCAGCTCTCTGCTGTGGCCTGAGAAAGCAGTGGAAAATGGCCCAAGTCCTTGGGCCCCTGCACTCATGTGGGAGACCCAGAAGAAGCTCCTGGCTCCTGACTTCTGATAGGTCCAGATAGGCTGTTGCAGCTGTTTGAGAAGTGAACCAGCAGATAGAAGGTATCTCTCTCTTTCTCTCTCTCTACAACTCTTTCAAATAAATAAATAAATAATAAATCTTTTAAAAAAGGGAAGAGAGGAAACATTCAAGACATTGACAAAAGTAATGATGATGCCAAAACCACAGCCACAAAAAGCAAAGATACACAAATGAGATTATTCCAGAGTAAGCTTCTGCACAGCAAAAAAAAAAAAAAAAAAAAGTCAACATGAGTGACAGAATGTGGAAAATATTGGCAAAGTATTCACCTGACAAAGGATTAATATTCAGAATATACAGGGAACTACAAAAAGTCGACAACAACAGAAAACACAGAAATGCAGTTAAGAAATGGGCAAGGGACATGCACAGACAATTCTCAAAAGAAGAAATAGGGGCCAGTGTTGTGGCATAGTAGGTAAAGCTACTTGCCTGTGATGCCAACATCCTATATGGGGGATGGTTTGAGTCCCGCCTGCTCCACTGCCCATCCAGCTCCCTGTTAATGTGCCTGAGAAATCAGCAGAGATTGGGCCCCTGCACCCTGGAGGAAGCTCTGGGCTCCTAGCTTTGGCCTGGCCCAGTCCCAGCCATTGTAGCCATTTGGGAAGTGAAACAACAAATGGAAGATTCTCTCTCTCTGTCTCTCTCTCTCTCTCTCTCTCTTTCCCTTCCTTTCTATAATTTTGACTTTCAAATAAATAAAAATAAGAAGAAATAAAAATGGCCAAAAAATACATGAAAAAATGTTTACTATCACTGTATGGCTATAAGGGAAATGTAACAAAATAAATAAATATAAATAAATAAAAGCAATGTCAGGAGCAGTGTTCAGCCTGACAGTTAGGATGCCTGCGTCCCACACCAGCGTGCCCGAGTTGGATTCCCAGTTCTGATTCCTGATTCCAGCATGCCACCAGTGTGTACCCTATGGGGCAGTAGTGATGACTCAAATGAGTCCCTGCCATCCAAACTGAAGACCTTAATTGCATTCCCAGTTCCTATATGGATGGCCCTGGACCAGCTCTGGCTGTACTAGGCATTTAGGGAAGTAAACCAGCATATGGGTAGGGTATCGCTCTCCTTCTCAAATAACTAATAAAAGTTTTAAAAAGAAAAGCACAATGAGCTATCATCTCATTCCAACTAGAATTGCTGCTACCAAAACCAAAAAAATTACAAACACTGGTAAGGCTACGGAGAAAAGGGAATGTAATACGCTGTTGATGGGAGTGTAAATTTGTTCAGCCACCGTGGACAACAGTATGGAAGTTCCTCATAAAACAGAAAGTAGATCCCCCCCTATTCAGTTTTTGGCTATATATCTGAAGAAAATGAAATCAGCATGTGAAAGAAATACCTGACTCCCGTGTTCATTCCAGCACTGTTCACAGTAGCCAATATATATGGAATCAACCTCCATATCATACGGAATCAATCTCCATTCAAAGGTGAGTGCATAAAGAAAATGTATATAATGTAATATCATTGTCATAAAAAATGAAGTCACGATATTTGTAGCAAAATGGATAGAACTGGAGATTATTCTGTTAAGTGAATGAGGTAAACAAAGAAAGACAAAAAGTGCACATTTCTCTCACATGTAGAAGTTAAAAACATATATTTAGTTGACCTGAATTTAAGATAGTGATTAGTAGAAGCTGGGAAGGGGGTGGGCGAAACAGTTGAGTGAAAATAATGGCTTTGACCATTCAGTAGCACAGTAGGGTGACTATGATGCCATTAAAAAAACTGGAAGATAGAAGCTGGTACGTTCCAAACATAAAAGATACGGAAGTGGAAATGCCAGCTGCTTGGTATTGTTGGATTATGTGTATATGTGTATATGTGTATACATATATGTGTATATGTATTGAAATATAGACTTCAGTTGGAGTCATCTTTAAAAATACAATAGGGGCCGGCGCTAAGCCCCAGCCTGCAGTGCCAATATCCCTTATGGGCGCTGGTGTGAGTCCTGGCTGCTCCACTTCCGATCCAGCTCTCTGCTATGCCCTGCATCCACATGGGAGACCCAGAAGAAGCTCCCGGCTCCTGGGTTCAGATCATCTCAGCTCTGGCTGTTGCGGTCATTTGGGGAGTGAACCAGCAGAATGGAAGACCTCTCTCTCTCTCTGGCTCTAGCTCTCTCTGTAACTCTGTCTTTCATATAAATTAAATAAATCATAAAAAAATAAAAATAAAAATACAATAACTCTGCCACGAAAGTCACAGAAACTAATTTATAAGCCACAATATCAATTTATTAATTTATAATAGGATACCTTTCCAACCACTCTGATATTCACATCTGTCCAAAACACACTGCTGTGCATGTCCAGGATCAGACATGACTACCCATCAGAATGTTGCTGGATGACAACAGAGTGACAGCAGAGGCATGGCTACATTTCAAACATAGGTCCTTTCATATAGTGCCAAGTTTAACTGTTGGTCCAAATAGGGCACATTTTCTTAACAAATCTGAGTCTCCACGGAACAGACTGGTTGTTCTCCTTGGTTCTCCTTTTCTGGGTTTTGCATCACATGTCCTTCTGCATCACATTCACATTCATAACCACACCTACCATATGTAAATTCCTTCTGGGATGCACATTAAGTTGCATTTTCCTTTCTTCTCAATCATACCTTCCAGAGAATCTATCCTTTTTGATCAGGGTTGCATGTATTACAAGGCAACAAGTTAGCAGGACATCGTGGGCCCACGTAACTTCAATGAATGGCTGCTTCAGCAGTCACACAACAATTATTCTAGCTTCAGTCTTAGTAGAAAACTTGATTTTCACATTCTTTCTATATCTGTTTATATCCTCTCTGTGTTTGTCTATTTGTACTTTATGGTATAAATCTGAAAGAGGGCCTCATATGTTCTAGCTATGAGCCATTTTCAGTATCACAGCTGAGGCAAGCATTTCCACTATGCTGATATTTCTGCTTTCTCTGTGGGTTTTTCTCCCCCATTATATTTCAAGGCTAAAACAATTATATCAGGGACTCTCAAAATTCAACCCAGCTAGCTTGGATCCTAGCTCTACAAATTACTCCTTCTACATCTTTTGGCCTTAAAGCACTAGGCCTCCTCATGGTCCATAAAATAAAAATAGTCCATGTCACTCAGAAAGGATCTCCTTCCTAGGGCAGCAGGTTAAGCTGCTGCTTGGGATGCCGGCACCCCACATTAGAGCACATGTTAGGGTCCTGGCTGCTCTGCTTCTGATCCAGCTCCCTGTTAATGTGCCTTGGAAGGCAGCAATGGAGGATGGCTCCAATGCAGGGGCCGCTGCCACCCACACGGGGGACCCAGACGGAGAGTTCCAGGCCATTTGGGGAGGGAACCAGAGGATGGAAATTATGTCTCTCGCTTTCTGTCACTCTGACTTTCAAATTGAATAAATACAAATTTTAAATCAAACAAACAATAAAATCTCCTTCCTTCCTCTCCAGGAGAGGAAACAAGCAGTGCCTGGTGCAAAGCTCCCATTCCTACTGTGCAGACGTAAAATGCCCAGAATTCTGTAAAATCACCACAACCTTTACCCACGGCCAAAAGGCAGTGTCATGCGTGGGCTGCTCCATGTCCTCTCCAGCCTACTGGAGGAAGAGCAAGGTACACAGAGTATATTGTTTTAGCAGAAAGCAACAGCCTGAATCAAGATGAGCAGCAAACTATCCCAATAAATACATTTTGGGTTAAAAAAAACAGTATCAACACTTATATTTTTGTAAAATTAAATCATATTTTGATAAAAATCCCTTATTTATTTGAGAAACAGAGCTTATATCCACTCTTTCATTCCCCAAGCCTTCATAGCCCCTGGGCCAGGCCAGGTCACAGCTAGGAGCTGGGAACTCAATCCAGGTTTCTCACTAGGTGGCAGGGACCCAATTTATTGAGCTGTCACCATTGCCTCCCAAGGGTTACATTAACAGGAAACTGGAGTCAGGAGGAGAGCTGTGCATTAAACCCAGCCACACAAATGTGGGACGTGGGTATCTTAACCGCTAGGTCAAATGCATGCACCTTGTGTTAGCTTTTATTCTCACTTCCCTCACCCAAACCTAGGCAAGCACAACATATCCTGACCATGCTTTAACCACGAATCCCACGCCCTGGAGAACAGGAGAATGTACATGGAGAGTCTTGCCTTCTTCCCCAGACGCATGACGCTTGCTAACACGTAACTAACATGTAAGGAACACCTCGTGCGTCACTGGGGCGCACACGAGACTCGCAAAGGGGTGGGGACCCCACGGAGGCAGCCCTGGCCCCAGAGGTGGGCGTGGCCACCAGGGACCCTCGAATCCCAGGAAGCCCTCAGGCTCCACCCAGGCCCTCGGCCGCCGCTAGGGGGCACCCGCGGGCCTGACGGCGGGACCCGGCCGCGGGCAGGCGGGGTGGGCGGCGTCGGCTGGGACAGCCGGGCCCGCCCGGGCGGGCTGCGGGGCGGCGGCGGGAGGGGGCGCTGCGGGGCCGGCGGGCGCCGCGCGGAGGAAGTGCCGTCTCGGCGGCTGCCGCCTGCGCCTGGGCCGCGCCGCGGGGGCCGCGATGTCGTCCGGCCCGGGGCGTGACGACCCGGGAGCAGGGGGCGCGCGGCGGCCGCGGGAGCCGCCTGAGCAGGAGCTGCAGCGGCGCCGGGAGCAGAAGCGGCGGCGGCACGACGCGCAGCAGCTGCAGCAGCTCAAGCACCTGGAGTCCTTGTGAGTCCCCGGCGCGCGCCGCCAACGACGGGGCCTGCGCTCGGCTGCCCGCGGGGGCCAGGCCGGGTCTACGAGCCCCGCGGGTGGCCAGGGACCCGGCCGCCGGGGCCTTGTCCGCTGGGTCTCCCCTCAGAGCCCGGGGCCGGCGACCGGTGTCTGGCAGCGCGGGCCCGGGACTTAAAGCCCCCCGTGACGGGGGATCTGGCCACGGCCTGGAGGGGGCCACGCAGGCCCGATCCGCGTGGGCGCCTCCTGCGCGCACGTGGGTGGGGGGCTTGCCTGGTCCCGAGCCGGGAGGCGAAGACCTGGATTCCTGGCGCCATTGGGAGGAGCTGAGTGTTCTTTGAGCGGCCGTCGGTGTGTGTGTGTGTGGGCCGAGTAAGTTGAGCCGAGCACGTTGGTCCCTGTTGTTTCCCGTTTGAGTCCGGTGATCCCCGCTGAAGTGAAGGAAACCCACCCCGTGGCCACCCTCCGCTGCCTGAGAGGGGTGAGGAGCCAGCCCGAGAGCTGAGCCTGAATTCGGGAGTGTGGACCTTTTCGCCCCAGTCCTGAGGAGTCTGTGCCGGGACCCGGGCCCGGAGTGCTGAGAGGGACAGCTGCAGCCCGAACTCGGGGCCAGGGTGTCCTGTCGAGGGGTCAGCCTGGCCCGACTGCGGCGCCCTGCGCTCTCCTAGCTCCAGACAGCCTGGGAGGGAGAGCCGGGTACAGGCCGGCACAAGGTCACTTTCCTGGGCCCTTTCAGGTTCCTTGGCCGGGCTACTGGTTACACCGAGGACCCGGGTCAGCGGGAGAGAAGCTGTCTGAATTGTGTACCCAGGCCCAGGAGCGTCACCAAATCGGAGACTCAAACATGCTTCTAGGCGTGTTGGAAAAGCGGTGGGGGTGGGGGGGGCGAGGGGAGGAAATGTGGGGAGAATGGAGGCGGCCTGGTAGGCAGGTAAGTCGGGGGTGGGTCATAAGGACTCACACAGCTGTCTTCCAGATAGGGTACGGCTGTTGTGAAAATTCCTGTGACAGGTGTAAATTTCTGTTCTTCAAGGGCCTTCCCACGGGCCTTGCAGGCAGTTGAGTGTGGGCTTAGTGTTGGCTGGCTCAGAGTAAGTGGTGTGTCCGGGTGCCATGTTCGGAGGTGGCGTGTTCAAGTCTTGCCATGTTAGTTGGAGGAGGTTTCCTGAGGTCCAGTACAGTATCAGGCAGGTTAGTTCTGCAGCCCTTAAGTTCTCTGTGATTTTTGCATTAACATAGAAGTGGTGATTTTCATATTAGCGTAGAAGTCGGTTTTTTTAAGTTCAGTGTGTCCACAATTTGTTTCCGTTTCAGTCGCTTCTGGTTACCTGCACTAGGTCATGTAAGGAAAGGCCCTCAAGGAGTTAAAATCTTCCCTTATTAACCTGTGGCGGCTTTGATGCACAATTCTAATGGGGCCTGGCCTACTCTTTCCAGTGTGGCCTGGGAACTGGCTGACTCTTCTTGGCCTCGGCTAGGCAAGGGTGCAGGTGCAGGCCCTACATTTCCCACATGCACATTCAGGCTTGGTTCTGGCCCCTTCACTTCACTTTCTGGTGCTGTAGGTCTCCACAGATCTTTCCCCAACATACAGGCAGGGAGGCCCCAGCCTTGCCCAGCCTTCCATATCTTTTAGTGTATGCTGCCAGATGTAGTTAATACCATAAGTATATTTTTTGGTAGCTCATAGAGCTTTCTCATAAAAAGAGAGATTATAACCTACTTTACAGATGATAAAATGGAGGCTCCCTGGTTAAGTCGTGTGCTCAAGGATATGTTGTCCAGCCTAGAGCTGAACCCAGGTGTCTGATTCTCAGACTAACAGTTTTTCCTGTTCCAGAGTTGTTTGAATGTTGATGTATTTGCTTTGGCTAGTTCAGAATCTTGTTCGATTCTTAAATTAAGCCATATTCACGCCAGAGTACTATTTACGTGTTGCATGAAACCTGAAATGGCACCAAAATGCTGTTAAAACAGTGGGCTGCCTAACTCCACACCATCACTCTCTGTTCTTTCTCTGTCCCTCTCTCCCTCCAAATAAGGTTTTCATGTGCAAATTCTTTTTGTTTTTAACCTTTGCAATTTAACTGCATATTTCTAAACTATATTCTATACTGTTTTCTTTCACTCAACAATTTTAGGCATATCTGTCAACCTCTTGTCATAAGAGGTAAGTATGTAGAAGTGGCCAAAGCTGGGAACCAGGAGTGCAAGTCAGGTCTCCCACGGCGGGACATGAATTCAGTAACCTGAGCCTCTCAGGGTCTGCACTGGTGGGAAGTCGGAGCTAGAAATTGAGCCCCAGCACTGTGATATGGGATGCAGGCATCAGTCCCCATGCTGACTGGTGTAACCAGGCGATACTGTTCATCCTTGAGACGGGTGGTGTGCTGAGTCTTGCTTCCTCATCAAAAGCCTCTGTTTTTCATTTCTTCTGCTTCCTGCTGCTGCTTTCCCTGCATAGGGTCAGCAAGCTGGGGCCATGGTAGAGGTAGAAAGGTGTGGTACCTTCCTTTCCTCACCTGGTAAGGGGGAGGCCTCAGACAGGAGACAATAGCAAGTATAATGAAAATCTTACATGACAAAGGAGCCTTCAGGATGAAGGCCCAAAAAGTGCTCCTTGTTGTGCTTGGATCGCGTGAAGAATCCACACCCGTGTGGAAATGTGATTGGACAGAAAGGCTGTGACCTCATGGCAACAGACTGCGGAGGCGGCCTTGGTGGGTTCCCTCCCCAGAGTTTCTGGGCCTCGCTCCTGGCTTTGACTTGGCACTCCTGGCTTCGGCTCAGCACAGCTCTGGCCATTGCGGCCACCTGGGGAGTGAACCAGCAGACAGAAGACCTCTCTCTGCCTCTCCTTCTCTCTCTATGTAACTCTGACTTTCAAGTAAAATAAATATATCTTTAAAAAAAGAAAAGAAAAGAAAAGAAAGTCCCTAGCTTGCCAAAGCAGTTAGGGATCCCCTTTGGTGCCCTGACAGTACTTTGCACACATGTTCCACCTACCAGATAACCCAGGAGTTCGTTTTCGACTTAGAATCTTCCTTCTCTCAGTAGGCATTGGTTACTTTCTATACCTGGTATCTTGCAGTTGTCCTTGAACTAACTCCCCTCCCCGCTTCCTGTCTTGAATGCCAGTCCTGGATTCCATGGCTTCTTTCTATTTTTATTCCCCCATTTTACTCCTGCATGTTCTCTAACTTCCCAGGAAAGAGTATGTCGAAGTTAAATCTGTAGACACAGCATGTCGGGTCTGAAAATTTCATTTTCAAACTGATAGGTAATTTGGCTAGGTATGGAATTCTAGGTAAAAAAAAAAAAAAAAAAAGCTTTGAATTTCAGAGGTGGCATCCCAGGGTTGCTGAGGAGTCTGATGTCATGCTCATTCCCTGTCTTTTAAGTTACCTGTCCAGTGTCACCCCACCCTTACAGAGCATCCAGTGGTTGCCATCCACAAGTTTCACGGTGATGTCCATGTTTCTTGGCGAACTTTTTTTTTTGGCTTGGCATGTCATGGGTGTGTTTAGTACATAAGTAAACTTATATTTTGTTTCCTCTTCTGTTTTTCCTATTTCTTGGATTTCTGTTGATCTCTGCCTTTCCCTTCTGGCATCTATCTCTTTGTCTTTTTAACTTTATAGAAGACTTTATTTCTCTGCAGTAGATTTAGTTTATTATTTTTTAAATTTGTTTGGAAGTCAGAGAGACAGAAAAAGACACATCTGCAGGTTCCATCCCCAAATGCTCTTAACAGCGTGGACTGGGCCAGGCTGGAGCTGGGACCTGGGAATTCAATCCAGATCTCCCCCATGGATGGCAGGTTCCCATCGTGGACGGCAGGAGCCATCACCGGCTGCCTTCCAGGATGTACATTAGCAGGAACCTGGAGCGGAGCTGAGACATAAACCCAGGCACTGCAATATGGGTTGCAGGCATCCCGAGCAGTATTTTAACCACCACACCAAACACCACCCCTACAAAACATGCTTTTTTTTTTTATTATTATTTATTTATTTGGAAGTCAGAGTTACATAGAGAGAGGAGAGGCAGAGAGAGAGAGGTCTTCCATCCTCTGGTTCACTCCCCAATTGGCTGCAACGGCGGGAGCTGTGCCGATCTGAAGCCAGGAGCCAGGAGCTTCCTCCGGGTCTCCCACATAGGTGCAGGGGACCAAGGACTTGGGCCATCTTCTGCTGCTTTCCCAGGCTGCAGCAGAGAGCTAGATCGGAAGAGGAGCAGCCGGGACTAGAACTGGCGCCCATATGGGATGCCGGTGCTTCATGCCAGGGCGTTAACCCGCTGTGCTGCAGTGCTGGCCCCCAAAACATACTTTTTAAAACTCTGTTGTATTTCTGAATTCATGGACTCCCAGTTTCTATCAACCCAGTCCTGGCCATTTTGGAGCGTGATACAGGGGATGGGAGCTCTCTTTGTATCTCTCTGCCTCTCAAATAATTGTTTCGTTTTGTTTTCTTTTAATTTAAAAATACCTGGGGAAGGAAGACAGATAACATAACCAGCCACGTTGAATGGGAAGCACTCTGCACTCTGGTGGTTTTTTTACAAATTGAATTCAGATGCATGCTTCTCTGTCTGCACAGCAGTTTTCCAGACTTCACCCCACCTGCCAAGCCCTCAGGGGCATCTGAGTTCCACCCATATTCCTGCCTTTGCTGTCACTCAAGAGCTCCCGCGTGTCGGGCATAACAGGGTGGCCACTGTGGGCATCTGCAGCAGTTGGGTCTCTGCCTTCCAGCCCCTTTGATGCAGGGCAGGAACAAGTGTGTGAGGAGGAGTAGGCTTACTTGAAGGACTCTTGTCAAGGAAATCCCACCCCACCATTCAAAAACTTAAAGGAGTAATATGAAATAATTTGCAAAAGAAAGATTTTTGCCTCATAGATAATTGAGTCTTATTGTTTGGAGCAATTACCTTCTCAGTGAATTAACATTAAGGCTTCTCAGGGGGTACAAAAGAATGGGGCTTTGCCAACTGTTTTTTAAATTTTAAGAATTAACTGCAAAGATAAGTGCAGATTCTTAGCTGCCACAGAAGACGACCTATACATAAATGTGTTCCAGATTCCTTATCTTTTCTGTTTAGTGTTAAATACTACTTTAAACCTTGACTGGGGGGCCAGCGCTGTGGCACAGTGGGTTAAAGCCCAAGCCTGCAGTGCTGGCATCCCATATGGGTGCTCGTTCAAGTCCCAGCTGCTCCACTTCTGATCCAGCTCTCTGCTATGGCCTGGGAAAGCAGTAGAAGATGGCCCAAGTCCTTGGGCCTTTGCATCCACATGGGAGACCTGGAAGAAGTTCCTCTCAGCTCTGGCTGTTGTGGTCATCTGGGAAGTGAACCAGCAGATGCAAGACCTCTCTCTCTTCCTCTCTGTCTCTACCTCTCTTTGTAACTCTTTCTTTCAAATAAATAAAATAATTCTTTAAAAAACAAATAAACAAAAAACCTTGACAGGTATCTTTTTTTTTTTTATTTGACTAGTAGAGTTATAGACAGTGAGAGAGACAGACAGAAAGGTCTTTCTTCCGTTGGTTCACCCCCCAAAATGGCTGCTATGGCTGGCGCTGCACCAATCCAAAGCCAGGAGCCAGGTGCTCCTTCCTGGTCTCCCATGCGGGTACAGGGGCCCAAGTACTTGGGCCATCCTCCATTGCCCTCCTGGGCCACAGCAGAGAGCTGGACTGGAAGAGGAGCAACTGGGACTAGAACCCGGTGCCCATATGGGATGCCGGCGCCGCAGGCAGATTAACCAAGTGAGCCACAGCGCCGGCCCAACAGGTATCTTTCATGAAGGACTTATGTAGCTCTAGAAAAAATACCAACCACCTTTCTTTAAAATTGTGAAACCCGTGGTAAAATAGACTTTAGGGAATGCCATTGTTAATAATGTATTTCAAAATGAACAGTGACATCATGCCCTTTTTGATCTTGGCAAGAACAGATAGATTTTTTTTCTGTGAACTTGGATCTCCATTAGGCCATATGCTGCTGTGTGTACAGCTCTGACATGTTTATCAGATCTCTGGCTTTATACACTTCACTGCCACGCTCATTTCGGTCTCAATACATAAGGCGCAGCGTTAGTGTTTCTAATGAGACTGTCATCTTCCCAAGTTGTGCAGATTTCCAGTGTTTTTGCTGGGTCAGGCCTGTGTCATACCACCACTTTGTTTTAGCAAATATTTTAAACAGCTGCTGTGGAAAACGACTGTGACATGCTCAAGAAGCTAATTCTGTTCATATCCGGTTGTTTACTGTGCAGGGCTCAGTGGGCATATCCTCCTCTGCCCCTTCAAAAAGCTCTGGTTAGTGGATAGCAGCATTTCTCATCCATCCTCTGCCAAGTTGTTTTCCCCTGTTATTTTTCCCTTAGTCAATTTTCCTAGACACATACCCCTAATAACCATTCTCTTCTAAAGGATCTCTTAAACCAGGATGAAGAAAATGTTCTCGTTGTTGTAGACTTTTCTGAAGTATCCGAATGAATCGTTCCCTGGAGCTGCGCAGAGAGGAGGCCCAGACCTGAGCTCAGAGTGTTTGTGTGTTACTCCTGGGCGGAGGCACGCACCCCTTTAAGGAGTGTTGGGCTTTTAGTCCGTGGACACTGGGTCTGTGGAATGGCCTTCCTGTCTTGCCACCTGTCCTAATGCACACTTCTACACTCAGCCTGCTGCGTCCTTCTCGGGGTTCAGTCCCTGAAACACAGCACCGTCTGATGCCACAGAGCAGCTGAGCCTGAGCAGAGGCCCATTGCCACTCTGCCAAGGTGATGCCTGGCCTGCACGTGGGATGCGGCTCTGATTCTCATTAACTTGGTGGGTTCTGTTCCTGTTAATGTGACTGATGATTTTCTCTGTGTTTCTTCTTTTCTAGTTATGAAAAACCTCCTCCTGGACTCATCAAGGTGAGTGTGAAGTTTGTATTCTTGGTTATTCCATTAGACAGGTTCTTGGAGACTCAGCCACTTGTTAGGAGAACGGGTTACATAAGAATTTAAACCTGCTTTTAGGAAAATCCTGTTTCTTCCCTGCAGGTGCTAGACAGCTCCTAATTTGTGGCTTTGTCACCAGCCAGTGCTTTTGTGGAAGCGGTGTTTCCCTCCCCCAAGGAACCAGCGGGCGGGCCGTGTATGTGTGTGTGTGTGTGTGTGTGCCTTGCCTCTGTTCTTTCACAGCTCTGCTGCCCCCTTTCCTTGCTTGTCCAACCTCATGTGGCCCCTGGGTACATTCTGCTGGTTTCCTGAGTGTCTTCAGCTTGCAGAACAGTAGGTTCAGACCCAGAGCTCCGGCGCTGCAGCCTCCCCTGTGCGGGGATCCCTCCTCCAGTGCCACACCTTGGTTTCCAGTTATTGCTGCGTGAGGCAGGACCCAGGGCAGCAGTTAAAGGCTGGAGGGACTTGTTGTGTTTGGTAAATCTCAACTTAAAAAGAGATTTTTTTTTTTTTTTTGAGAAACCATTCTCCTTTTATAAATTTGATATTCCTGGAAATATTATAATTGGGCTCCACTCATGTAATTGGGTCTGCGATTCACATGGGAGACCTGGGTTGAGTTCCCTGCTCCTGCCTTTGCACATTGAGGAATGAACCAGGGATGGGAACTCTTTCTCTCTGCGTCTGTCACTACCTGTCTGCCTCTCGAATTAACAGATTAAAAAAATAATTATTTAATTTTTTTAAAAATCAGAAAGTTTAAAAAAATAAACACCTTACCTGTAATCATGAAAGTGCCTGTCAGAGACATGATATGTATGACAGTGGCCTTCAAGATAGAGCTGGTTATTTTAATATGACATGCAATTTCCCTTATTCTCGAAAACAGCCTTGTATACTGTAATTCTTACCTTTTCTCATTACACAAATTTTGAGGTCATGAAACTTTTTTCTCATCTTCAAATCTGTCTGCGATCAGCATTTAGCTCGCAGACCATTCCTGTCTCTAGGACATGTTTCATCCATCCCTTTCCTCCCAAGAGAAGCCATGTGGCTGCTTTGCTGTAGCTCCTCGGTGTGTTCATTTCCAGTTTTTCTTGGTGGGTATAACTTGTCTTTCTCTACTTTTTGTGGAATAATTGGGGATGACTGTGGAACCAGCAGTGCTTGAGTGGGTTCCAAAGCAGGCAGAAGAGAATTCCCTGGCTTTTTCTGCCACCGTGTTGCTTACATTCTGTTTCCTTCCTTCAGGAAGATGAGACGAAGCCAGAAGACTGTATACCAGATGTACCGGGCAACGAACATGCCCGGGAGTTTCTGGCTCATGCGCCAACTAAAGGACTTTGGATGCCCTTGGGGAAAGAAGTCAAAGTGATGCAGTGTGAGTGAGGAGGAGTTTCAAGGAACACTCCCCGACACACGCAAGTCCCTGCCACTGCCTTGAGTTGTGTGCTTCTTTTCTTTAACTCACCACACTAATCGAAAGTCCTGACATGATCTCCATTTTCTAGGGAAGGAAGCTGGGGAATACATGTTAGCAGGTGCCCAAGGGAAGAGGGAGAACTTAGCTTGGGCTCTGGGGCTTTTTTTTTTTTTTTTTAAAGATGTATTTAAAAGGCAGAGTCACTGAGTGAGAGGTGTTCCAACCACTGGTTCACTCACCAAATGGCTACAGCAGCCAGTGCTGAGCCAGGCTGAAGCCAGGAGCCAAAATCTCCATCCAGGTCTCCCATGTTGGTGACAGGAACCTCAAGTATTTGAGCTGTCATCCCCTGCCTCCCAGAATCACATTAGCAGAAAGCTGAGGAGCCAGGACTGGAACTGGCACTCTGATATGGGATGCAGGCATCCCAAGTGGTAACTTAGCCCACTGTTCCTCAACACCTACCTCCTAAGCAGTACTTTTTTTTTTTCAGTGAATATTTGGTAATTTTATTGCAAAATAAACATCCTTGCACTCCAAAAAAATCCATTTTCTGTTCAGTATTACGTGACATATTCACAGTAATGATGAATCAGATTCAGCCTACAAAATATCCAGACCTAACCATTTATACAGAATATGGATACTGGAACTTTCTTGCTTCTCATAACATCAATCTTTGCAATGGTGGTCTACTTAAGATTAGTTCTCTTTGAATACATTAACTTTGTAGGAAAAAGGAAAATAACAATACTATTTATCATATGCCTTTTATGCTTCGACCACTATTTCACTATGTGCTTTCCATGTTAATTTACTATCTAGAATAGCCTCCATCATAACACCTGAGGACAATGGTGCAATACCAGCTTAAACTCGGAGCCTGGACCTCCATCTAGACGTCCCAGTACTTGGGCTGTCCTCCATTGCTTTCTGAAGCCTTGGATTAGAAGCTGAGCAGCTGGGATTCCAATCAGCACTTGGATAAGGGCTGCTGGCATTGAATGAGATGGCTTAAACTGTTGGACCACGATGCCAGCCTCCTAAGTGGCATCTTAGCCACTGCACCAAATGCCTGCCCACTAAGATTCTTTCTTAATAAACAAGTACTGTCTATTACTTTCCTCAAATCCCTGTAAATGGGATGTTATAAAAGTCACAGAAATGTAGTATCTCATAATTATGAGATCCAGAATCCCAACATCTGTTTCACTGCATTGAAATCGAGCTGTTGGCCAGGCTGCACTAACTCTGGTGGCTCAGGAGCAGTTCCATCCTCTTTTTTTTTCCAGCTTCTGGTGGCTCTTGTATTCCTCTAAGTAGTATCTTAACTGCTATGCCAAGCATCTGCCATTTTTGTTACAGTTTTTGGAGTTCTGCTTTCCATGTACTGATCTCCAGTTCAACCCCAAAATTGTTCCTACACATGAATATTAAGTCCTTTAATTCAGACAGTTGGTTGAATTCAATTCTGTCAATTTCATATCTGCCTTCTGTGGATTACCTTCCTTTTTTTTTTTTTTTTAACGTTTTATTTATTTATTTAAGAGGTAGAGTTACAGTGAGAGGGAAAGAGAAAGGTCTTCCATCTGCTGGTTCACTCCCCAAATGACCATAATGGATCAGGAGCGTATTCTGGGTTTCCCACGCGGGTGCAGGGGCCCAAGGACTTGGACCATCTTCTACTGCTTTCCCAGGCCACAGCAAAGAGCTGGATCAGAAGAGGAGCAGCCAGGATTAGAACTGGCGCCCATATGGGATGCTGGCACCACAGGTAGAGGATTAACCTACCATGCCGTGGTGCCGGCCCCATGTGGATCACCTGTCACCGTCTGTATAGAGTATGTCTGTGCCCCTAATTCATCTGCTGATGCCCTAATCTCTAATGTAATAACATTTGGAGGTTATACCTTTATGAGGTAAAATTAGGGTTAGACGAAACCATGTAGGCATTTGGCGCAATGGTGGAGTCATGACCTGGAGCCATGAACTAACCAGGTTTTTAAAAGTGAGATACAGGTGGGCCGGCGCCGTGGCTCACTAGGCTAATCCTCCGCCTTCCGGCGCCCGCACAGCGGGTTCTAGTCCCGGTCGGGGCGCCGGATTCTGTGCCGGTTGCCCCTCTTCCAGGCAGCTCTCTGCTGTAGCCCGGGAGTGCAGTGGAGGATGGCCCAAGTCCTTGGGCCCTGCACCCACATGGGAGACCAGGATAAGCACCTGGCTCCTGGCTTCGAATCAGCACCATGCGCTGGCCGCAGTGCGCTGCCCGTGGCGGCCATTGGAGGGTGAACCAACGGCAAAGAAAGACCTTTCTCTCTGTCTTTCACTGTCCACTCTGCCTGTCCAAAAAAAAAAAAAAAAAAAGGCGAGACACAGGCAAACATATTAACTGTTAGACTAAGGACCTACTCCTTAGCCATTCTTTTTTTTTTTTTTTTTTTTTGACAGGCAGAGTGGACAGTGAGAGAGAGAGAGACAGAGAGAAAGGTCTTCCTTTGCCATTGGTTCACCCTCCAACAGCCGGCGTAGCCAGCGCACTGCAGCCGGCGCACCGCACTGACCCGATGGCAGGAGCCAGGTACTTATCCTGGTCTCCCATGGGGTGCAGGGCCCAAGCACTTGGCCCATCCTCCACTGCACTCCTGGGCTACAGCAGAGAGCTGGCCTGGAAGAGGGGCAACCGGGACAGAATCCGGCGCCCTGACCGGGACTAGAACCTGGTGTGCCAGCGCTGCAAGGCGGAAGATTAGCCTAGTGAGCCGCGGCGCCAGCCTTCTTCTTTTTTTTTTTTTTTCTTTAATCATTTTCATTTTATTTGAAAGGCAAAGAGAGATCTTTTTTCTTATTTTTTTTTTAAATTTACTTATTTGTTTTATTATTTGAAAGGCATGGTTAGAGAGAGAAAGATACTCCATCTGCAGGTTCACTGCCCAGCTGGCAACAAGAACTAAAGCTGGGATAGGCCAAGAGGCAGGCACTTCATCCAGGTCTCCCACATGGATGCCAGAGTCCCAAGCACTTGGACCATCTTCCCCTGCTTTCCTAGGTGCATTAGCAGGGAGCTGGATCAGAAGTGGAGCAGCCTGGACTTGAACTGGTATTTCAGTATGGGCTTCTGGTGTCACTAGAGGCAGCTCCAACACACTGCGCCATGCCACAGCATTGGACCAGAGAGAGATCTTTTATCTGCTGGTTCGCTTCTTAAAAACTTGGCAATAGCTGGGGCTGAGCTAGGCTAAAGCCAGGAGCCAGGAACTGTATTCAGATCTTCCACATGGATAGCAGGGACCCCATCACCTTCTTTCTCCAATGGGGAACATTAGGAGGAAGCTGGAATCTGAACAGGAGTCAGGATTTGAACCCGGGCATTCCAGTATGGGATGCAGGTATCCCAAGCAGTGCTTCAACCACTGCACCAAATGCCCACCTCTCCTTGGCCATTCGTGACGGAACTCCTGATTTATTCTTTTTGGAAGGAATTCCCTTTCTGTCACCTTGAAGGAGGGAATGAAAGCGTGTGACTATCTGCAGTTAGTCTGTAGAAGTCTACCGTCTGCTTTCTAAAAGCTTGTTACCTACTACCTGTTTAATAAGGTGTCTGATTTTGTCTCATGTATTTTACATTTCTGTCCATTGATTTTTAAAATGAGAAGGTTTGTATTGGAAGCAGTTTTAACAAGAAGTTAAGCTAAAGCTTTGATTTCCCTGACCTGTGCCTCTAAAATGCCTGTGGAGACCCTAGCAGTGTGTTCACATGGTGACCATGTAAAGTTTTACAAGGAGAGGTAAGCCTGGTGGCACAGTGGGTTAAGCTGCTGCTTGGGGTGCCTGTGTTCCACATGAGAGTGCCAGCTCAAGTCCTGGCTACTCCACTTCCCATCCAGCTTCCTGCTGATGCGTCCTGGAAGGCAGATGATGGCTCGGGTGCTTGGGCCCCTGCCATCTGTGTGGGAATCTCCCACAGGGTTCTGAGCTCCTAGCTTCAGCCTGGCCCAGAGCTCGCTGTTGAGGCCTTCTGGGGAGTGATTTAGCAGAAAGAAGATTTTCTCTCCGCCCCCCACCCCCCCTTCCCCGGCTTTTCAAGTAGATGAAAATAAATCAGCATTTTTTGAATGTTAAACTTTTCCAAGGCAAGTTATTTTTCAATGCTATTCCTAAGCAATCTTTCCTCCTTCAGACTCCCAAAAACTTATACCCAACCAAGATGGGAAGCAAAGATGTCCCCATGTGCATGTGAACTACCAAACTGGTTCTCAAATTTTGATATACCTATAAACCACCGATATATCTTATTTATTCATTCATTCATTTAAAAGTAGAGTGACACAGAAAGAGATAGAAAATCTCCCAGCTGCTGATTCACTCCCTTAAATGTTGCAACAGCCAGATCTGGGCCAAGCCAAAGCCAGGAGCCAGGAACTCCATCCTGGCCTCCCATATAGGTGGCAGGGGCCCAAATACCAAGCCATCATGCACTGCCTTCTCTGGGAAGAGTCTGGGATGCTGGATTGGAGTGGAGCAGTCGTGACCAAACCAGCACTTGGAGGGATGCTGATGTTACAGTAGACAGCTTAACCTGCTGTTTCATAGCACCAGCCCCAGCACAGCTATAAACTCAGGTTATTGGCATTTGTTAGGGGGCCCTGATAGTCTGCATTACCAGCAGTCTCCTTCATGTTTTCATCTGTGCTGTGGAGCACGGTTAGAGTTCCTGGGATCACCTTTTCTTCAACAGTAACAGAATTTTGAGCAGACATGGTATCTTCTGGAGACCTACATGTGAATACAGGTGCTGCGGCAGGTCACACCCCTTCAGTTTGGCCGTAGAGAAGGCTTTGGTTGGATGGAGGGTTGTCCTTAAAGTGTGGGGAAGACAAGGACAGAGACAGCTTAGAGGCAACCACTGAAATCCCCAGACTTCATTCTTTTTGATGATTTCCTGCCTCCAATCCTTCTATAGAGATAAAAGGGGAAAACTTTCTTTCTTTTCATTGCACATTTGCTATAGTTGCCAGCATGAAAGACAATTGGCTGGTCCTACCTGTGACCTCATTTCATGCCTCCTGACCTCCCTGGTTGTACCTGCTCAGGTCCCAAACACAGGTTCTCACTCCAGCGCACCACTTCCAGTTTTCTAACTTGCCTCAAATCCAGATGGTTCTGAAAGCATGGAAACAGGTGAGGAAAGTAACACGGATCTCCTCAGCCTTCTGCTGCTTCTAGTGTACCTCCTTGCAGGACAATCTCCCTGTCGTGCAGGTACCATTTTATTAGGGTTCTGGTTATATCAGCACTTTAAGAGAATCTGTGGTTTCATTCACTTAGAGAAGATTTGTATAAGGGTTGATTCGACCTGAGAAAGAAGCTCTGATCTTTTTGTGCCTAAATGTATGAATGAAGATGAAGCCCACTTTATGAACAGGAAGGATTTATTCTACAAATTATACTGAGGCACACTAAAGAGAAAATCCACATTTTTCAGTACTTTTGTATTGGATTGCTTCATAAATACTTGTGAATTGAGTATTTATTCCTAAAGCTACAAGATTCAAAGATGCTTGAGTTGACTTAATGCACTCTGGAGTCTAACTTTGATGGCTCATGCACTGATTGTATTTGCTCTTAGAACTGGAGTGTGATGATGACAAGCTTTAATATAATTAAGTGTTGAGTGAAATGTGACCTCCATTAGTTGAGAGCGTTTTACATCAGTATCCTTTCTTTGTTTTTAGGTTGGCGTTGCAAACGGTATGGTCACCGAACGGGCGACAAAGAATGTCCTTTCTTTATCAAAGGCAACCAAAAGTTAGAACAGTTCAGAGTAGTAAGTAAAACCCCAGTGTCCATTTACATTTATGAGAGATGGTGAATATTCGACAAGCCAGGGAGTCACCAGTGAGCTGAGTGGTCGTGTAAGACACAATCCTAGAAGCCTTTTGGCTTCTGGTCTGCCTGATCTAATTTTGCCTGTTAAATGGCATTTGTGTGACAGCTCAGCTCATTATCAGAAAACTAAATTCTATTAAAATGTTCTTTATTTTTATACCTTTGGAACAGTGCTGCATTTTCTGGAGCAGTCATTGTTATATGTTCAACCCCATTTTTGTGAACTTATTTAAACAGTCAAGTCTCATGATGGTAATCAGAATTTTTGTTTCCCAGTCTTTATGTAGAAATTGGGTATCTTCCCATTTTTAGCTAGAAGTGTGTCTAAATTTCCTCTCTAGATGAGAGGAAGACATGTCTGTCACTCCTCACTTTATCTTAAGAGTCATCTGCCTCAGGTGTGGATTCCTCATTCAGTAACTGTTTCTGCCACATGAACTATGCCATGTGTGAACACATTGGGATTATCAGTATAAAATGGGGCCAACAGCCATTTTCCAGAATTTTCACAGTATTTAGTTTTATATTTTCATTTGAATAATCTGAAAAAATTTCCTCAATGAAATACTTGTAAGTAAAATGTCAATTTTTATAAATACTGTAAAATATAGCTCAATGATAAATTTCAAATAACTTTAAACTTTAATTGACAAATCCACTTCCAAAAGTTTACCTTAAGGATTGAACAGAATGTTCATATATATATATATATATATACACACTTTATGTCAGTAATGTTCATGATTACATATTGATATTAGGAAAATCAAAACTAATATTTATAAAAAGTCCAGCATAAATGAATGTAGTATAGAAATTATTTAGACATTAGGAATTAGGTTTTAGAGGAATGTGCAATATTCTGGGAAAATATTCATGAAAACAAAAGTATAAAACAGTAGAGCTGTGTATAATCCAAATATAATCCAATTTTTTCATAAATTATGAATCATGAGTGGAAGAACTACACCATATGTTAACAGTAAGTATCCCTGGCTGGTGGAATTTTTAAATTCCACTTTTTTTTTTTTTTTTTTTTTTTTTTTTTTTTTTTTGGACAGGCAGAGTTAGACAGTGAGAGAGAGAGAGAGGCAGAGAGAAAGGTCTTCCTTCCGTTGGTTCACCCCCCAAAATGGCCGCTACGGCCAGCGCGCTGCGCCAGTCTGAAGCCAGGAGCCAGGTGCTTCCTCCTGGTCTCCAATGTAGGTGCAGGGCCCAAGCACCTGGGCCATCCTCCACTGCCTTCCTGGGCCACAGCAGAGAGCTGGCCTGGAAGAGGAGCGACCGGTTCAGAATCCGGCGCCCCAACCAGAACTAGAACCCGGTGTGCCGGCGCCACAGGCGGAGGATTAGCCTAATGAGCTGCGGCGCCAGCCTAAATTCCACTTTTTAATAATATCTAAATTACTATACACATTTTTTGAGGTAATGGCTTTGCATATTTCACCTACATTATTCTTATATTTAAGACATAGAGGCACTTAAATTATCCAATCTAAATAATGCAATATGTTAACTTTTTTAAAAAAAGATTTATTTATTTATTTAAAAGACAGAGTTAGAGAAGGGAAGAGACAGAGAAAGAGAGATGTTCCAGTTACTGGTTCACTCTCCAAATGGCCACATTGGCTGGAACTTGGCCAGAAGCCAAGAGCTTCTTCTGGGTCTCTGACATGGGTGCAGGGGCCCAAGCACTTGAGCAATCTTCTGCCGCTTCCCCGGGCACATTAGCAGAGAGCTGGATTGGAAGTGGAGCAGCCAGGACTGAAACTGGTGCCCATATGGGATGCCGGCCCTGTGGCTTTACCCACTGTGCCACAGCGTTGGCCTCAAGAATATGTTAGCTTTAATCTACAAAATGAGAAGCTCTGTAAGGTGTTGCCATGAAATGCAATCCTGCCTCCCCACCCCAGAGGTGGGTTTGCTTCAGATAGTTTGATGTATACATTTCCAGACTTCTTTGCAGTATGTGACATGTATTTTTATGACTTTTACAGATATTTCTTACATATATTTTGTAAGTCATTTGTTTCACTTAATACTATCTCTTGCTTACCTGCTCATAAAAACCCAAGATAATTATATAAGTGATTCCAAACTGAAATACTGTTTGACACTTTCACTATGCCTCAGTTTATGCAGTTATTTCCCAGTGCAGAATATTTAATTATTTCCTATATATATATATATATTTTTTTTTTTTTTTGACAGGTAGAGTAGACAGTGAGAGAGAGACAGAGAAAGGTCTTCCTTTTGCCGTTGGTTCACCCTCCAGTGGCCGCTGCGGCCGGCGCACCGCACTGATCCGATGGCAGGAGCCAGTTACTTATCCTGGTCTCTCATGGGGTGCAGGGCCCAAGCACTTGGGCCATCCTCCACTGCACTCCCTGGCCACAGCAGAGAGCTGGCCTGGAAGAGGGGACAGAATCTGGCGCCCCGACCGGGACTAGAACACCGTGTGCCGGCACCGCAAGGCGGAGGATTAGCCTAGTGAGCCGTGGCGCCAGCTAATTATTTCCTATATATTTGTAATAGAAAAATTTTGGCTTGTAGCCTTCATAAGTTTACAGTGACGTAAGTCTTTTTTTTTTAATTTGTTTTACTTGAAAGTCAGAGTTACACAGAGAGAGGAGAGGCAGAGAGAGAGAGGTCTTCCATCCACTGGTTCACTCCAATTGGCTGCAATAGCCGGAGGTGCGCCAATCCAAAGCCAGGAGCCAGGAGCTTCTTCCGGGTCTCCCACATGTGTGCAGGGGCCTAAGGATCTGGGCCATCTTCCACTGCTTTCCCAGGCCACAGCAGAGAGCTGGATGGAAGTGGAGCAGCCGGATCGCGAACCAGCACACATATGGAATACTGGCACTGTAGGCGGTGGCTTTACCCGCTATGCCACAGTACAGGCCCCCAGTGACTTAAGTCTTAAAATGATTACAACATGTTGAGCTTAAAGCTATGTTAAACAATGAAATCACTGGTTTTGGAAACACACAGGGATGTAGTAGTGGTTTTTGTTGCTGGTTTTTAGGAGTTTTTATTTAATAGCATTCATGCAGTCTAATGAAACCTTAACCCTCTCTGACCCTTAAGGCACATGAAGATCCCATGTATGACATCATTCGGGAGAATAAAAGACACGAAAAGGATGTAAGGTGAGGTCATCCTGATCATAACAATATCTATCTCTTATCCATTGAGAACAACCATACTAATATTAGGGGGATGGTTTGATAAATACAGTCCTTTAGTCGTCAGAGATTGAGAGCTGAGGTGTCAAAGCTGAATGGGCCAGTGTCAAGGAAATGAGCTGGCCAGACCCCTCCTGCTGGGTTAGCTTCAGGTGGTGGGCTTGATGCAGCAGACTCACTCCACTGGTGTTGATGTTGGCAGCCCACCTCAGTGTCTACTTTTCCTATACAGTCAATGCCTTCACATGATTTAGGTTATCTTCTACAGTGTCTTTAACTATCTGAGCTTTTGATAAAACTCATTTTTAGACATGATTAAAGTGGCGTGGGAAATGGGAATATATTTTTCAAATTGGTTCCATTGCACTGTAATTTTTTTTAAGTCATACTTTTCTTTTGAAGATTATTTTATTTATTTGAAAGTCATAGTTAAAAGAGGGAGAGAGGTCTTCCATTTACTCCCCAAGTGGCTGCAGTGGCAAGGGCTGAACCAGGCCAAAGCCAGGAGCCAGGAGCTTCATCCACATCTCCCACATGGGTGGCAGGGGCCCAAGTACTTGGGTTGTCTTCTGCTGCTTGTCCCAGACAATTAGCAGGAAGCTAGATCAGAAGTAGAGCAGCTGGGAAAAGAACCTGTAGCCATATGGGATGCTACTGTTGCACACAACTGCTTTACACACTATACCAGAGTGCTGACCCCTGAATTAAAATTGTTAAGGAGCTAAATCTATGATAAAAGAAAGCAACAGAGGAATGGTTAGCAAAATATGGCATCTATTAGTAATTATAATTGTAAGGGTTGTGGGACCATGCAGAAATAGCACACTTAAAGGAATATAAACTATACAGTAGGGGCTAGCATTGTTGTATAGCAGGAGGAGCCACCACCTGCAACACTGGCATCCAAGTGGGCACCAGTTCATGTCCCAGTTGCTCCATCTCTGACCCAGCTGGCACCCATGTGGGGGACCCAGATGAAGCTCCTGGATTCGGCCTGGCCCAGCCCTAACATTGTGGCCATCTTGGGCAGTGAATCACAGATGGATGATCTCTCTGCCTCTGCCTCTCTCTGTTAATTTTTTTCTAAATAAATAAGTTGTCTTTAAAAATATGTACAGTGGTTAGGTGTACAGTGAAGTAGGTATTTATAGGAACAAGAATGGGGAAAACATAAAATACAAAGGGACTTCAGAAAGCTCATGGAAAATGAAATTAAAAGATAAAAATAAAAGCAAACTATTTCCCAACATGAGTGCCCTCAAAACCAGAACACTTTTATGAGTGATAGTCCATGTCTGAAGGACTGACAGTCCTTGGAATGTACCGTGTTTGTGTTGTCTTTTTTACATTATTAACTGAGGAGAAATAGACACCCTTTAAAGATTTTTTTAAGATTAGGAAGCAAGGGGCCGATGTTGTGGCATAGGAGGTAAAGCCATCAGCTGTAGTGGCAGCATCGCATATGGGTGCCAATTCGAGTCCTGGCTGTTCTACTTCCAATCCAGCTCTATGCTAAGGTGCCTGGGAATGCAGCAGAGGCCCAAGTGATTGGGCCCCTGCACCCACATGGGAGGACCCAGAAGAAGCCCCTAGCTTCTGTGTGGCCCCACTCTGGCTATTAACAGCCATTTGGGAAGTGAACCAGTAGATGGAAGATGTCTCCTCTCTCTCTCTCTGTAACACTTGCCTTTCAAATAAATAAATCTAAAAAAAAAAAAATGAAGCACAAAAAAATTAGAGAGAGCCAAATCAGGACTCTGACACCAATACCCAGTGTTTTTCCAATGAAGCTCACAAACAGGACAGCACTGGTTTTTCGTGGTGGAGCTTTTGTGGACATGTGCAAAGCACTGGCTAGTTTTCACTAAGCTCTGATTCTAAGCAGATGTTACCATTCTTTAGCTCTCTACAGCCAACAAACAAAGTGCTTCAAACCTCCCAAAACCCTGTTGCCCTGACCTTTGCTTTTGACTGGTCTGCTTTTGCTTTGGCCCACTTCTACTCTGGGTATCCATTGCTTTGATTGTGCTTTGTTGTCAGGTTCTACTGGTAAAACCATTACTCATCTTCATTTACAATTCTTAGAAGAAATGCTTCAGAATCCTGACCCCATTCCTTTAAAATTACCATTAAAAGCTCTGGGGAGGGTTTTGTTTTGTTTTTATTTATTTAAAAGGCAGAGTGACAGAAAGGGAGTGACAGATCAGTCTTCCATCTGCTGGTTCACTCCCTAAATGCCCAAAACAGCCAGGGCTGGGCCAGGCTAAAACCAGGAGCCAGGAACTCTATCCGGGTCTCCCACATGGGTTCCGGGGGTCCAAGCATGTGAGCCATCATCTGCTGTCCTCCCAGGTACATGAGCAGAAAGCTGGATCCAGGGGCTAGCACTGTGGTGTAGCAGGTGAAGCCACCACCTGCAGTGCTGGTATCCCTCATAGGCACCAATTAAAGTCCCGACTGCTCCACTTCCAATCCAGCTCCCTGCTAATGGGCCTTGGAAAGCAGCAGAAGATGGCCCAAGTGCTTGGGACCCTGTACCTGCATGGGAGACCTGGGTGGAGATCCAGGTTCCTGGCTTCAGCCCCACCTGTTGCAGACATTTGGAGAGTAAACAAGCAGATGGAAGATCTCTGTGTCTCTTGTCTTTCAAATAAATAAACCTTTTTTCTTAAAAAAAAAAAAAAAAAAAAAGAAAGAAAGAAAAGAAAAAGAAAAGCAGCTGGATCAAAAGTGGAGCAGCCAGGACTCAAACCAGCATTCCAGGAGACAGGCATCCCAAACAGCGACTTAACACCCATCCCAGGGCCTGCTCCAAGAGCTCTGTTACATGCAGCTCACCTGGGGGCAGTGGTTTTGGCAGAAAGTTTGCTTCACTGAAGTATTCAATCTGCATTGTATACGCTGAACTGATGGAGACACCTGTGGTGCTGGCTCTTGATCCTCTTCAGTTAACACTTGAGGAAGAGTTTCCTGCACAGTTGATGTATGTGATCTGTTGCTGCATGTTTCAAGGTTTGTCTCTTCTTTTTTTAAAGATTTATTTATTGGGGCCAGTGCTGTGGCACAGTGGGTTAAAGCCCTGGCCTGAAGTGCCGGCATCCCTTATGGGCACCGGTTCTAGTCCCAGCTGCTCCACTTCCCATCCAGCTCTCTGCTATGGCCTGGGAAAGCAGTAGAAGATGGCCCAAGTCCTTGGGCCCCTGTGCCCACGTGGGAGACCCAGAAGAAGCTCCTGGCTTCAGATTGGCGCAGCTCCGGCCGTTGCGGCCATCTGTGGAGTGAACCAGCAAATGGAAGACCTCTCTCTCTGACTCTACCTCTCTCTGTAACTCACTTTCAAATAGATAAAAAAAGAAAAGAAAAAAAGTTACACAGAGAGAAGAGGCAGAGAGACAGGTCTTCCAACCGTTGGTTCACTACCCAGTGGCCTCTGGCTGGAGCCGCGCCAATCAGAAGCCAGGAACCAGGAGCTTCTTCTGGGTCTCCCACGTGGATGCAGGGGTCCAAGGCCTTGGGCTATATTCTGTTGCTTTCCCAGGCCATAGCAGAGAGCTGGATTGGAAGTGGGGCAGCCGGATCTTGAACCAGTGCCCATATGGGATGCTGGCACTGCAGGCAGTGGCTTTACCTCCTATACCACAGTGCTGGCCCCAATTAATCTCTGCTTAAAATGAGTCAATCAATTTGTTAACTGCTGATAACTTTGGGGCATGGGTCTCATCAACTTTTAATTTCTTTGAAAGGCAGAGAGAGAAAGGGAAAGAGGCTTGTTCACTTTTGAAATGCCCACACTGATCAGTACCAAAGCTGGTAGCCAGGAACTCAATCCAGTCTCCCATATGGGTGGCAGGAACCCAATTAATTACTTAGCCATCACCACCACTTCTAGCATCTGCATTAGCAGGAGACTAGAACCAGGAGCCAGGACTGAAAACAGGTGCTCTGTCATACCAAAGTATGGATCTGCTGCATGCTGCAGTATTTTTAAATCCATGCATACTTTTTCCATAGTATGCATTTCCCTGAACTTTTTGAAGAACTCATTTGTACGTAATGAAATAGCTGATTGTAAGTCCCCCTCCTCCACTTATCTAAAATAAAACTTAAGTTAAAAATCAGAGTTCATTGACCAATTTTTTTTTTTTTTAATGTTTAGGATACAGCAGTTAAAACAGTTACTGGAGGATTCTACCTCAGATGAAGAAGGGAGCAGCTCCAGTTCCTCAGAATGTCAAGAGAAACACAAGAAAAAGAAGAAAAAAGAAAAACATAAGAAAAAGAAGAAAGAAAAGAAAAAGAAGAAAAAACGGAAGCATAAGTCTTCCAAGTCAAATGAGAGTTCAGACTCTGAGTGACAATATCCTGACTTGTTCAACATTCTCTTCTCAAAAGCAAACACTGCAGCCAAAGAACAGGGGGAGTTGCCATCCGAGCATAACGGGATCCATAGACCAGAGAGAGGAGGGTCTTGGGTGTCACGGCTGTGAAGTCTCAGCACCACCCAGTGAAGAGCTGACCCTCAGCAGAGTGAGTTGTCTCTTCCTAGGATCCAGTGCTGAGTAGCAGCGGACTTGGCTCAGACAAGAAGGCTTGTTCCGTGTCCATCTCCCTGCTGGCCACCTGAGTGTGCCATTCCTGCGATACTCCTGCAAGGTGCAGGCTGAAGCATTGAGGAAGTTCTGGGTTCTGGGACAAATTCTGCCCCCATAATGGGGCGACTCGAGTCCCATGGACTTCAGAATCAACCCTGCTCTGTTGTTGAGGATAATTAAAGTTCATGATGTATTTTTTAAATGTAGTTATTTATGAATATGTGCATGTGGTCAAAATTTACAATGTTTGTATGGTTTAATTATGAAAACCTTTCCTTCCTCCCCTCTAACCACAGTTCTTTCCCAGTGTTGCCAGTTTCTTTTAAAGGTTCCCAGAAATATCTCATATTTCACAAATATGGGATGTTTTATACACATACTCTGTAGAGATTCACTTACATGTAGTACTTTTTAACTTCACCATGTAAAGTGACCATCTTTACATGGAGTGTGTACGACCTTGCCACCTTACCTATAAAGGGTATATGTTTATATTCAACTGATAGGATTTATTGATTTGGGGAACAGGTTCCTGTCACAGCAGTGAAGAATCTTATATGGAACTGGCTTACATCTTACTATGAGAGTCCTAAGATGTTCAGAGAGTAATTGACTCAGGAACCACTTAAGAATATAGGGCAGTTATACTAGACCTGGTCAGCTTACCCACCTCCCCAAGTCCATCCCCCACTTCCTCCTCCTGTTGCCTGAACATAGCCCACCTGTATTCTTTGTAGCTTAGACTGGGCCACAGCAGAGGCAGCTCAGCAGGTTAGGGTGCTTAGTACCTTTAGCTAGAGAATAGAGGAGAGAAAGTCCATTTTTTCTTGAGCCAAATAGGCCAGATCTTGTTCAGCAGCAAGACTGCCTCTTTGTATCCAGCACAGTCTGTTGCTGTTGTCAGCATTTGGTCATGTTCCAGAAACTCTTTACTCTGTATTTCCTGCCCTTTTTCCTAAGAGTTGGATTCTCTCCTCTTTAAAGAACAGCCTGTGGGCCCAGAACTGATTCTTCTCCAGCTCTCATGGGTCAGTGCTCCCAGTCTTGGCCTTAGAATAGTAAATCAGGAACAATCAGCCCAAACTGGCACGGCCAGGACTTCCTCTTTCTGAAATCTGTGAGGCCAGTTGATTCGGCCAATCCTAACACTTGCTTTGTCATCCTCAGTATGCAGAACATAGGCCATGTGTTGTCTGCCATATGTCGAAGTATTTCTTACCCGGTTCTTGCCTTTTCTCTTCTGATAGCACATTTTTACTGTCCCTTGGTAATCTCATTGATGATTGCCTTGCTAACAAGATCTCAAGTGATGCTAATGCTATTGCTTCAGGGAACCACAGTTGGAGAACCAGTGCTGTAGACCTTTAACCTCTTTCCCAAGCATTCTTCCCCTTCCTGCTTCAGTTGGAATCTCAAATATTCCTTGCACTCCTTGCAGGTTAGTCGCTCTCCCATCTCCCTCTGGCATAGTTTCCAGGGCCCATTGCTTCAGCCTGTCATGTCTCTTGAACTCCTTTTGCCTGAATTTCCCAGAAGAGCCTCCAAACAAAATCCTCTTCTGTTCCTCTACCCCATCTGCTAAAGCGTCACACAGCCACACAGATGGGTGCTCCTAAAATTCATCCCCTCCAAACTCAACTCAGCACTGAGTCCAGAAAGCCAACTAGCAGATCCAGCACTTGTTAGACAACTGTTCAAACCTTTCCCCCACTCATCGCCTTCAGGAACTGTGTGGTCCTCTATTGAGGAATGTGATGGAGTCCTCAGACCTCCTTTCACCAAGACAACCTTGCAGATCAGCATCGTGACTGGTAGGAACTCTGACAGGCAAAATTCGAAAATGATCTTAAGATTTCTCCTTATCTTCAGGAGTATTCACATACTGCATTTCACTAACGATCAGATTATGGTGCAAGACAGAGAAAAGTAGACAATTGGTATTCCCAACTAAAACACGTGAGCCCTTTAAAACTTCAGAATTTTCTCTGGCTGATAACCAGAGAGACCCAATGCCTGTGAAAGATTGCACAAGCCATTACTGGCTGTAAAAAGAAAGATGAGGGGGCCATGTGGCAAGGAATGCAGCAGGCTTTAATTACTGGCCCCTGGAGAACAGCTGGCTGGGAAATGGGACACTACTATAACAAAATTCTGCCAATCTCAGTAACATTGGATGCATATTCTTCCACACAGCCTACAGATAAGAGCCCAACACTGCTGGCACCTTAGTTTTGACTGAGACCCTAAGCAGAGAACCTGGTTGAACCTACTCAGATATGTGACCCACAAAACAGTGATAATATTTTAAAGATTTACTTATTTACCTATTTGAAAATGAGGGAGAGAGATCAATCTTCCATCTGCTGGTTCATTCCCCAAATGACCACAATGGCCAGGGCTGGGCCAAGCAGAAGTCAGAAACCAGGAGCTTTTTCCAGATCTCCCATGTGGGTACAGGGGCTCAAGCACTTGGGCCATCTGCTGCTGCTTTCCCAGGCATATTAACAGGGAGCTGGATTGGAAGTAGGTAGGGCAGCCAGGACTTGAACCTGCACCACAGATAGTAGCTTAACCCACTGCATCACATTGCCAGTCCTGAACAGTAAGAATAAATGGTGGCTTGAGGCTGGTGCTGTGGCGTAGCGGGTAAAGCCGCATCCCATATGGGCGCCAGTTCAAATCCCAGCTGCTCTACTTCCCATCCAGCTCTCTGCTATGGTCTGGGAAAGCAGGGAAGATAGTCCAAGGCCCTTGCACCCATGTGGGAGACCCAGAAGCTCCTGGCTTCAGATCGACACAGTTCCAGCCGGTGCAGCAACTGGGGAGTGAGCCAACGGATGGAAGACCACCCCCCCCACCTCCCCTTCTCTATCTGTATAACTCTTGACTTTCATATAAATAAATCTTTTTAAAAATAATAATAATAAATGGTGGCTCTTTGAAGCCTTTTAAGTTTTTGCTAATTTCCCATGGAGTGATTGACAATGAGTAGCAGTGGTTTAATTAGGTTTCCCTTGTCCTCAGGCCCATCTACCTATGCTCTGGATCCCAGCCATGAACCAATAATAGTAGCAATGGCCTGGCTCTGGGTTTGGCCCCCAGCTGCACCGTTTGCTAGCTATGAGATGGGGCCAGTCGCCTGACCTTGTGCCTCCATTTCCTTGACGGTTAACATGTACCTTCTAGAGCCATAGAGACAGTGCTATGACTTCATCCCTGCAGAGCATCCGGAGCAGAATTCCACCATTTCAACTGCTAAGTGAATAGCACTGCTGCAGCTTCTATTGCCGTCGTCAGCATCTATTCCTGCTTCCCCTGGCGTCTCCCTCCTTTCTGTATCCCTTCTCTCTCATGTCTGAATCATCTTCCTCACTGCTGCTGTCTTGCCGCTAGAATTTTAGATTGTTTTAAACATACAAAAGTAATACATATTTTTAGTTCAGAGCCATTGGAACAAAGAAAGGAAAAGGGAGTCTACTGGTTTTGATATTGTTACCACAGAGTGTGTCCAGGTTCTTGATGCACTGCAGGATATGACAGGGTTATGTTTTATTTTGCACAAGCCAGCAGTTTATGTTAAGGGAAATACACTCCCAAGGATAGGGAAACAGGCAGGCTAACTAGGCGTGGGGGAAAGAGCATCTGTAACTGAGGGTCTAGGAGGTTTTTCCTTATTTTATAATGAGGAGGTAGAATATTCATGAGAGAAGGAAGAGTACTTAGGAGTAAGGTGGCGTTTTCCTAGAATAGGGGTGTTACCTATTTTTTTAAAACAAGGTTGAAGGTCACAATCACCACCTCAATGAAGATAACACAACAAAGCTTTTTCTGGGATGTTTTGAGTTATCATATATGACTAGTCCTTGGGACCTTTGTATCTAGCTGTCTGCTGATATTAACAATTTGGCCTTCCAGGCCCTTTTAAAAACACATCACTAGGGCCGGCCGTATGGTATAGTAGGCTAGGCCTCCGCTTGTGGTGCCAGCATCCCATATGGACGCTGGTTCATGTCCCAGCTGCTCCTCATCTGATCTAGCTCTCTGCTTATGGCCTGGGAAGGCAGTGAAGGATGGCACCAGTGCTTGAGCCCCTGCACCCACATGGGAGACCTAGAGGAAGATCCTTGCTCTTGGCTTTGGAGTGACCTACCTCCAGCCGTGGCAGCTGTTTGCGGAGTGAACCAGCAGATAGAAGACCTCTCTGTAGCTCTCCCTTTCAAATGAATACATAAAATCTTTTTTAAAAAATCACCAGGGACCGGTGCTGTGGCATACCAGGTAAAACCACCACCTGCAGTGCTGGCAGCCCATATGGGCGCCAGTTCGCAGTCCCGGCTGCTCTACTTCCGATCCAGCTCTCTGCTGTGGCCTGGGAAAGCAGTAGAAGATGGCCCAAGTCCTTGGGCCCCTGCACCCATGTAGGAAACCCAGAAGAAGCTCCTGGCTCCTGGCTTTGGGTCAGCGCAGCTCTGGCCCTTGCTGCTAATTGGGGAATGAACCAGTGGATGAAGATTTCTCCCTCTCCCTCTCCCTCTCCTTCTCTCCCCCCACCCTTTCTGTGTGTAACTCTGACTTTCAAGTAAATAAATAAATCTTTTTTAAAAAAATCACCAAACACGAAAGATGTACACACTTTTTTTGACTTTTTTGTTAGTTATCACACATACGTTCAGCACTACAATCATTGTCCTTTCACTTCATTTCACTTACTATACCTCAGTATTACCACAGCTTACAAGAAGCTTTAAATGGCCACACAATTTCATGGATTCAAACCAAGGCCCTCTAGTAGCAGATGAGGGCAGTCCCAGCATCATGGTAACCAGTAAGCAAAACACCTCCCTCCATTTAAATTTTCAAATACTACCAAGTGGAGCCCCCAGAAATCTGTACCAATTTACTTGTCCATTCTCTCACTGTGTACAAGGCCCACTTCCCTAACCAACAGTATCTAAAGAAGCACAAGGCTCCCTTTAAAAAAAAAAAAATCCTACACTACCAAAACACAATTAGAGGCAAGAAAAAGATTCTAGGGTAGCAACTGACACTGCAGTTAAGTCACCCTTAGTACACCCACATCCTATATTGAAGTACATAGTTTGAGTACTGGCTCCTATGCTTCTGACCCAGCTGCCTGCTGAAGTGTACCACAGGAGGCAGCAGATAATGGCTCTGGTATTTGTTTTGGTTTTGTTTTTTTTT